TTCTCATCCCTCCCCTTATTACGCACCAAACAAACGTTCCAAAACCGATTGAAATGTGACATAAATAAAGCCTGCGCTCCACCTGACGGGAGCGAAATAATGAGATTTCATGTTAACATAAAACGCGCAGAATTCCTCCCCAGTTAACGTTTAAATGATTTGAAAAAATGTATGTATCCTTTCCTGACCCTATCCCTCTTATTTACTGAAGAACCTGTGATGATGTCCCGGTAATCTCGAATTGAAATCGAATAAGAATCGATTTTTTACAACTATCGAAGTATAAATTAATTCCACAACAAATACGATCATGGAGTACAGAGAATGTTGAAGATCGAAGAGTGGATTTCACAACGCTACCAGGATTCCCCACATGGTGGCACTGTTCTTTTTTCAGAAAATAATCCCTATAATATCGGAGATTATAGGGAAGATCAGCAGCACTTATGAGGCATTTGACAGTATGTCAATTTAAAAAAATTTATATTTTTTCAATTTTCATATAAATGAAGTATGTGGTACAAAGCTCTCTCGGATATCCTAAAACGCGAGGAAAGAGGAAACCGAATTGTTTTTCAAAAGTTATGCAACATACAAAATTGGAGGTGCTTTGGATCATGCAATTGTTTACAGCATTATAACTCGACAAATATTAGTTGTATCGGAATAATAATGAAATACTTTTTATTGCAAAAGAGCGATATAAAAGAGATACATTCATGTCACAATTTCATTTTTATAGCAAAGAGCCATTTATAATGCTTTTAAATATCTAGAAAGTTAAGACGCAATTATTTATGTAGGAAATTATTCTTCTTCGAAATTAAATTTCTAAAAGTATAAAAAAGCTAATTTATTAAGGTCTAAAATTGCACAGAATTCAGTAAAAATATTCAACAAAGTGCAATTTTAGAATTTTTTTCACGCCATTTTTTATTTTTCACCCCAATCAAAAATGTTCCCCTTCTCACCCCATTAATATTAAGGGATGAAACAAGCTTCATTTATCGATACCCATTCCATCTCTTGATTTCTGTATGAAAAAAATAAAAACATCGATGAAAGGCATCGCGCTGAAAGAAACCGAGTGATTTGCGAGCGCTGAGTGACATTAATAATTTGCTTGCCAATTAAAACTTCGTATTTTTTTTTCCTAATTAATATCAAAGGATGAAACTAATGAGATTCGATTGGAGATAAAATTTTCCATACATTTTCATGCCTTGATTTCGGTATGAGAGAAATAAAAACGTCGACAAAAATCATGGCGCTGAATCCATCACAATTATATTATTTTTTATATAAATTTTGACATAGATGTATTTATCACAATTATTGATCCACAGAAAACGTCGATTGTCATCAGGACATCTTAACGTAGCTTCCTCGATACTCCAAATTGGGAATGTTTTTAAACAACAAAATTAATCGATTCCGTCCAAGAGAAGAGAAAGTAGCATTTTGCTTTAATATGAAAAAACAACGCACAGTGTCATCTATGTATTAAAAAAAATCATGATGGCGTAATGCCGAATAAACAAACTCATTCAAGAAATAACTGAAAAATTGAAAAAAATCATAAATTAATTGAATTCTGATTCATATCGACGACTCGGGTTCAACAATACTTATAAGACATAAGAGAAAGAAAATGATTGAACTGCACGGATATACTCACGCCCAATCCGAGCTGAAGTTTGAAAGATTTGTTACATATATACATACATACGTACCGACATATTGGGTTAATATAATACAAAAGTGAGGAATTCAAATTTGATCGATTGAAATGCTTGCATTGGAAAGCAAAAATCATAGTATTCGTTAATATTTCAGCTTTCCTTTCATGGAGAGGAGTATTCAAGAAAAATTACGGCACATTTCACGTAATCCTCATGCGAGAACGATTTTCGGTGAATTTCTATAGAAATATACGAAAAAAATCTGAAAAAGTTCAATAAATTTTCCGGGCTATCACTGAAAGACTACAAAGAAGTTTCGTAGAAACTGTAAAATTCAACAGGGATTTCCCCAATCATTATAGTCAAGAATTTTTATGCAATGTTTCGTAAATTTTACGTATTTTTTCGGGTAATTTTCATTGATCTGTTCTCTTTCCGTATCCTCTCACAAGAAATAGTAATTCTGTAGTAAACACAGATAATTAAAAAGATAAATTCTGGAATTCACTTAAATATTATGGTATTATTTATAAGGAAAGAGAGTTAACATAAAAGAAAAAATTACCCCGGCTGGCGTAGTGAAAAAGACCGTTAGATTCCTGGCCGCGTAGAATGGTAAGATCTAACCATTTTTAAAAAGTCTTGACGAAAGCTTAGTGAAGAAACACAAAAATGATCGCAGAGCAATGAAACTTCGGATATTTATAAATAATACAGTTGCCGACAAACGGTAGATCTTTTCCGGCCAATTAAATGAGTAATTTACGTTGAATATTGAAAAATTAGTGCAAATTGGCAGTTAACCACAATTTTTGCGCGCACAACTGAAATTTACAGCAACGTCTCATAAAACCCCTAATGAAGGAGCATGAGAGCGCGTTGAATTCAAATATGACTGATACTCATCACCTGAATTCTTTTGGGTGTTCGAGATTTTTTATCGATAATAAAGACAATGCTCAGTAAATAAACGATTATCATAATTGGAAAATATGATTAAGTAGTTCCTCTCCAACAAGGCATGATTATGGAGCACGACTAAGTGAGGTTGAGTTGTGAGTAATGTTTAAAAACAATTCTTGTAGTCAATACCGGAAGAATAATGTGTATCTCTAATTTTGAGCATCGATAATTCACTTTTAATCACTAGTTTTTTTACTTTTAATTTTTATTGTTGATGTAGTGATATGAGTAAAGCGAGAGTAAAGAATAACATCTAACAAGTAGCCCAGTGTGTGCCATAGTGAGCTAATGGTACCAACTTGTGCCACAGAAATTTTTTATTGAGCGACGTTGCCGCTGTTACCCATCCAATATTAATTTCTTAAAATATTTTTAATATTTATATCTGCGACTCTTTTAACGAAATTTATCTATCGCCCATCAAAAAATCATAGCATAAGGGATATAATGACTCTGAGAGTCGGCTTCTTATAGGATTTAAAAATTGCACTTTTTCATGTTCAGGTATTGGAACACTTACGAAAATCCTGCCGTCCCCTTTCCGCTCACCACCTGTTTCGGTACAGGAAGAAACTCACTCCTTAAGGATATTCAACACTTCCTTACCGAAAATATAATGTTTTTGCGTTTTGTCATTATTTATAAATTTATCAAGGTTCACGGTGAAGTCAACATTTTGCTGCGTTCTTTCTAAACTTTCAATAAGATACATATCTCACCGTAAGCTTGCCAGAAAAATAAAAAAATTTGAAATTTCGCTAAACGGGTCTGTAGTACATCTTCGGGAGTTAGTTTATTGATGAAATTGAAAGAGTCCACATCGATTCGACGAATCTTGTAAACTCTGTCGAAATTGGAAAACGCCTAGATCAATTATGGTTGTCTACATGAAGAGGTACCTGGTTAAATTTCGAAAATTATGAGCTCAAATAGAAAATTTTCAGTGTTATGGAGTTAAACAATGGATTTAAAATGGAGTTCTACTCGAAAGGTACTGCGATTGCAATTTAAACTGACCCCGGGTATTGATGCATCAAATCGAGTGATTACTTTTTATATTAACAATAAGATCTTTGTTCGACAGTAAATGAACAATCTTCTTTTCCAAATATCCTGAAAACTGTTTGTTTTTATTGTTGAAGCATTCTACTTAACAGTCCATGACACGGCCAATATCTAACAACTCAATTGATCTATTTATGCGTGTTTACGCGTAAAAAATATTAAAAATTTAGTTCTAGTCTTGAAGGGATAAATTTCGCCAATAGATTATAGGTATTTAAATATGAGAGTTCACTACTTTAACTACATCATCTGACTGATTACAATGATTATCACTAATACACGTCGGAGTCACATTTAAATCTGCCTTCTGCATACGCAAACGACTTCTTAAATACATAATTGTTTATATATCATCCCTTGGTCAGCATAATTCAGTTACACTGGCAAGTGTCGCGCTGACAATGCTGTCCACATGTTCAACAATAATATCTATATAATTGACCAAAATCTGGAGCATAACAGATGTTTGTTTCATCCTAGGTTTCCGTATTGTCTCAGCATCCCATATGTTAGTAGAAAATATTCGAAATAAAACAGAGTAGGCCCAGTTATTTGTCATAAAAAACTGCCCTCTGATTAATTGAAATGGTGCGTAAAAATAGTCAACGAAATATGTGATTTTTTTCATGAAATTTTTTAATGACTGTTTGCCGGGGTATCTCAAAAATATGTCAGATTTAAAATAATGAAATTATTCCGAGGAACCAATCAGGACGACGAAACTGTTGGATGGCGCACAGAGTTGTGGGTACTGGCATTTTGAGGAGAGTAATTGTAGGTTGTACGTGCAGTAGAGGGAGAACCACGGTGCTGGCTCGTCTTTTTTTTAGAGTAAAAACTCTGAATTTTCAATCAACAACCTCAAAATTCAGGGTAACTCCGATTCTACTAGTTGAACGGACTTTACGACGCCGCGAAAATTGTTGGCACACAATTGGGTAAAATATCTCGGAGTGACCAAGGTAAATATAACAATAAATTTTATTATACTTGCATGATCTATGTGGAAGCATGAAAACGTTTCAGCCACTTTCTTTAGGCATTTTTAATCATTGATCCGACCTCGCATGTAATCATGCTACTCTTGAACATGTATGTCGATCAATTAAATTATTTGACTCGTGAAAATTCATTGAAAATTACTTGGAGTGACTGTTAAAAGGAAAGATGCCCCATGCCATATGCTTTGGGGGTTAGGAAACCTTTAAAACTCAAGGAAAAATAGTAAAATTTAATGCTCAAGGCGGTACCGGTGTCGTGAGTTACTAATACGATATTTTTATTTTTTAGAATGGCCCGTGGACATCAGAAAATTCAATCGCAAGCGAAGGCAGCTGAAAAAGCTAGCAAGTTGAAGAAACAACAGGGCCACAGTGCCAATGAGCAGAAGAAAGCTGCACAAAAAGCCTTGGTCCATGTCTGTGTAGTTTGCAAAGTATGTACTCAAAATCAATAATCGATAAGAGAGGAGACAAATTGGTAAAAGTATTTAGGAAAAACGGAAAATATTACTATAATCCTTCATTTGTCAAATTTTCAAAGTAATTTCCCTGTAATGTACGATTTTTTTCACATAACAATGAAGAAAACTGTTGATGATATTATTTTTATCAGTTACAGATGCTTTCTTCTAGTATTTCGCTTTAATTATTGATCATGAAACCATAGAAAAAAAGAGAATATCGATTTTTTTTTATTATAGATAGAAAGTAGGTATTTCCGTTACCTCTTGAAAAGTGTTGAAATCTAGAAGAAAATGAAAGATGACAGATCCATTAATTGGATAAACATTGGCCAGAAAGCATTCCTGAAATTAATGAATGAAAATATTGAATTTCTTCGTAGATTTAAAGTTCACAATAATAAAATTTCTCTGAAGGTTTTATTCCCCGAGGGCTTTAATAATCTGAATTAAATGGTCTCTCAAAATCAGGCCAACGAGTCTTCAATACATGGATTACTTAAGTAAATAATAATAATAATGAATTATTTATTTTGCAGGCTCAGATGCCCGATCCAAAGACGTATAAACAGCACTTTGAAAATAAACATCCGAAAAATGACATGCCTGACGATTTGAAGAATATATGAAGGTGAAAATTCGTTTGGTCTCAAGCAAGCAGACAACAGGCAAAAGTGGCAAGATAACGCGAGGAAAAATAAAACAAATAAACGATTAAATTAATTGAAAGAAAAATGGCACGGAATGTTGAGAAAACAACGAGGCATCAACAAAAGTTAATACGAGTGATATATAGTGTAATGTTTTATCCAGCCGATTTTAATAGCATTGATTAATCGTGGAAATAAATGGAAATCCACTAAAACATTTGACACTATTCCATACTTTTTTTTTATTGGTTCTTCGACTTTTTCGATTCAACTTCTCAGAAATGCACTTAACACTGTTATGGAATGCACTATAATAATTGAATTAATTACTAGTGATTATTGAATAATAATTAGTGCTTCGTATTCTGGATGGACGTACATTAAGAAATTGTAGTCATTAAAAATCATTACTCCCTGTTCTCTTCTGTTCCACTCAATTCCTGAATTAAATGTAATAGATTTGTTCTAGAATCAACGACTGCCACTACCAACTAAATTATAATCTATATAATCTACGAAGCAAAAGGAAAAAGATGTTAAAAACTCAAATATTAATAGGACAGCGATTACCATCATTCTTTTCTTTTCGTATTTTGAGCAAGTGGATCTAAGGGTTTTTTTCATTAATATAAACTTGATTCATTATGATGTAAATCATTCACAAATCTTTGTAGATAATCACTCATTTATAATGAATTTATATTGATTTTTTCCGTCGACATGCTTCAATTGTACTTAATACTTGTTCTTCTTTGAAGAAGAGTTTGAAATCCTTGGAATAATAATTTGTACATGCACGAAATATTTGTTGGGTATTTTTATGATGGCTTATAACTCCTTTGGTAGCTCTTGATGAATAAATGCAATTGTCGAGTGTGTTATCATTATGAATGATGATCTCAGCGAATTTAAAACGTTTTATATTGATTCCGATAATTATTACCATCGAAACCTGATGTGGTGTATTGAACTGTGAGAACAATTATCAACAGAATTTGTTTTCCTTATATCAATCAAGATCAACTGTCTCGAGGTTTTCTTTGAAATTTCTTGAGATTAACTAATTTTGTGATTCTTATTCTCGACGAAGCGGACTATAATTGTCTTTCCTTATGATTACTGATAACTCTCAAGCAACTGACTACCCTTGAAAAGCAATTTTTTTATTATGTCTCTGACTTTTTCCTCCTTATAGAGAGATTAATTATTTTAACGTCGCGTAATTAGTTCCTAAGGTTTTACGTATTGAAAAAAGTTATGCTGTCTCGGATTGGCATATTATTCAGATAATATATTTACCTTAACGTACAGCAAAATCAAATCTGCTACGTGATTGTCAGCTTTATACCAATTTAGAGAGATATCTTCGATATTAAATAAATTTTATTGGATTAAAATGGATATTTGGTGCATATTGTGGATTTATGGAGGACTATTCTGCGTCAGTCACCACAAGGATTTATTATTAACGATAGATGTATATTAGATCATGTATATACCACATGATATATACATGATTATGCAGTGAGAGCATAATAATATTCACTTATTTATATTATGATATTGAATTTCCATGTAACAATACGATGAATTGTTTCATGAATGTTAAAAAAAACTCGAGCAATTCCGCACTTTTTTTTATAGGATTCATGAAGGCTGTCAAAATTTGACCACGTGGAGATAATTGCTTAGGGAATTTTTAAGTGTGAGAATAAATACTGAAGTTTATTATAAAAACCTGTTTTTGTCAATGTCAACTATGAAATTAATTTTTTAGATGGAGACGACAAGTAATGATGGTCTTCCGCCCCCAGATTTTTGCCCGCTGTTCAGTTCTTATCACACTTTTTGTTCCCGATAGCTGATTACATACACATGGAAAAAATTTCGTCATATGCTCTGTTCCATCTATCTATTTTCATAATGCCAATGACTGGATTATTTGTCTCCGCTCGTATAAGTAGCTGGAGACAAAGTGGCACGATTACCAGTTTCTGAAGAGCTCTTGAGTCGTTGTGTAAGATAATTTTTTATTTTTTTTTGGATATTTTTTTTTTCTCTGGATCTTACGGTTGAATGATCGAACAGCAACGTGGCACAACGCGCGTGAAGTGAAATTAATTTTTTATTTCTCTTCATCACACTTTTGGCGAAAAGTTCTAGAAGGGCTTGCAATTATCAAATTTTCCAAAAAAATTCCAAAGAAACATGCCGAGCAGTTCGAAATAGCTCTCCACTAATTCAATATGGATGAGATTCGATGAGAGTCGGATGCGGATCGTGAACAACTCCACATCCTTTCAATCGTGATCATATCTTTGAAATTAATGATTTTAAGAAAAATTTTTTAAAGAAACTTTCCTTTTCATTTTTTGTTACACTTTTCATTGGTGAGATGATTGTTGCAATTAGAATGATGGATGTTTCGGTAAAAAATTGAGAAGAGATTGCCCGCACAGAAATCAATGTATATTCAATATATATAAATATTAATTATACGCACATATATCACATGAAATATAATTGTGGAAAAAATGCAGTATGTCACATACGTGTCGCACATAATTATTAATATACATATATTTTTTCGTTGAAGGGACGTTACTCGAATACGGTTCAATCCATAACACTAATTAAAGTGATAACGCAAATTTTTATTGATTTCAGACGTCAGAGGAATAGCTTCGTCGGTAGATATTGCATCATCGAACATCAGATATGAATGACGAAGTTCTTGTAACTCGCTCACGAGGAGCAGCTGCTGAAGGTGTGAGGGACCAATACGCAGATGGAAAAGCTGCCAAGGTATGGAGTATGTACATCGGAGACAAGAAGAAACGAACGCAAAATTATAAAGATTTCCTCGTGGGAATTTTGAGGAAGAGAGGATGCAAGAGAATACTCGACGTAGCTTGTGGTACTGGAGTGGATTCTGTGATGCTATTGGAAGAGGGATTTGAGGTCGTCAGTGTAGATGCCTCTGACAAAATGTTGAAATATGCATTGAAGTCAAGATGGGAACGGCGAAAAGAGTCGGCCTTTGATAATTGGGGTAAATCTCTATTTTTCGATTATTTTTCGTTTTTGGAGTGTCATCATCTCAGTAATGAGTGACGTTAAGAGAAATCATGAGATGACCTAGTTGATACAGAAATTTCTTTTCTAAACAATCTCTCCTTACCGAGATATTTACGTTGTCGAAAACATTGTGAAACTTTTCGTGGTTTTTCTCATTAATTTTAGGATGAACTATGGACTATAACATTTTTTTCACTAAAAGCAATCCACGCCTGAGGTTAAAATTAACGTTAAAAATAAAAGTTCGCATAGCTCAGAACTGGTTAATTTATGAAAATGATTGTCTTTATTATTCTATATGTTCTCAATAAGTCGCAAAAAAAGATCTGAAATTACGTTTTTTTCATCTATTTGAACTTTTTTATACGAGAAATTTTATGATTTAGAGAGATTTCCATTTAATCAATAATTATTCATATGCAGTACAACAGAGTGGATTTTGAACGACATAAATTCAAGTTTTGCAGTAATCTGGAAATTTTATTGAAGATTGTAAATTTTATTTAAGAAGCACATGTATAATGATTCGGTGTGCACTGAAATTCTAAATTCAGAGATCAAAATTAGCAGTCTAAAATTAAAAATAAAAAATGATCTGATAGGACTGAAAAATTCCATAAGAAATAAAAAAATTCAGAATGCCAAGTTTCAAATTGCAAAGGATAAATTGCACATTTTTAATTTGTTATTCGCAATTGTTTTTTTTTGCTCTTGGTATGAGCCACAGTGATTGAAGAAGCCAATTGGTTAACGCTCACTGATGATATTGTGGACATAATTGGAGATGGTTTCGACGCGGTCATATGTCTAGGGAACAGCTTCGCCCATATGCCTGATAATTTCGGAGACCAAAGGGAACAGAAGCAGGCCCTTAGAAACTTTGAGAAATGTGTAAAGCCCGGTGGATTATTACTTATCGACCATCGCAATTACGATCACATCATCAGCCGTGGAGAGACCCAAACCAAGTGTATTTACTACAGCGTAAGTATGAGACTCATTGCACCTCATTATTCGTTATTGGATTCATTCATTCATCAATGCGTGTAAAACAGTTATCGTACATGTTTAAAAAACATATCCTTTTGACATTTATTGAACTTCACAAGGGACTTGAAAAGATCAATTTTTCGAATGTAGAATCGAAAAACAGAGTCCTTCTGGTTAGTCAAAAAACTAGTTCTGAACAATCTTTCATCAAAGTTCTTTCTTACTTATAAAAAGTTAGAAAATTACGGTGACTAAGGATTTGATCCAAACTTTTATAAAAACTGATGAAAACTGTACGATTTCTATCGTACTTTTCACAAATTTTGGAAAACACTTACCATCTACTATTGGAAATTTTTTGAAATTCTAATTTTTTTCAAACGTGCGCTATAAACTAGTTTCACCCACCAAAATTTTCAGTAGAAGCTACGAATTATCAATACGTAGTGTAGAAAGTGAAATTACGGATATAGGTGTTAAAAAGTAAAAAAAAATCATTTCACAAGTATCGAAAGATTCTTTTTTAAGGAACTAAAAATACTGATGAAAAGTAATAGGTATAGATGAAGAACTTTTTACGGGCATACTAAATTTACTTCCGACAGCTATTTTCCCGACTTTTCAAAAGGAAACTCACTAAAAGTTCAATCCAAAACTTTTCAAAATTAACCCATTTTTAGAGTGTACCTAATAGTCCAAAAAGAGCGGCGGGAGAGGAAGGGCTAGAGCATTATTATTGTGTAATAAATGATCTTGGTCTCAATTCAAAGAAAAAATTGTAATATTTACCAGAAAACATGAAACAGAAAATATTATGCAATTAATCAATATGAGGATGTAAAAAAATTTCAGAATGAACATGTAACAGATATAAAAACATCAGTTCTGTTCGTCGCTGGAAAACCTCAGATGGTGATCATGGATTACATGGTAACCCTAGACAGCGGCAAAGACAACACCAGTGATTTTCGTCTCTCGTATTACCCTCATCTCCTCAAGGTTTTCCACCAAATGCTTGCGGAAACGTTCGGACCTGACGCTAAGCACGATATTTATGCTGATTTTATGCCCCTTGAGGTGAATGACACACCCGGATTCTACATTCACATGCTAGAAAAAAGTATGTGAGCTTCAATGAAACTTAGGGAAAACATCAAGTCGCATCTAAGAAGATTTTTCAAAATTACGTATGAAAAGGGGCAAAGAATAATGAAACTATAAGTTAGCTTCAGGAAATCAAATTTTCTGTACAAACATTTGGTGAAAAATTTTATGAAATTTCTGTTGGATTGTATGATTTCTTCTGAAAAAAACGATCGCACTTAACAATTTGCCGAGAATTGGCTAGAGCATTGCCTTAAGAAGAATCTTTAACTGATATTGTTTTCGGTAGGAAAATCCGGTAAAGTACTACCTTACCAACCTCTAGGTAGTCGACCTTTGTGGGGTTCATACCAGTCGCATCCCCCTCACGAACCCTGGATTACGCCGATTAAATCATACCTAGCAAGAATTTAAGAAATTTAATGAAATATAAATTAGAAAAAAATGTATATCCGTAGAAGTGAGGAGGAGTGAGAAGTCTCGTCCATCTACGCAAGCACCCATAAAAATGAGGCGACTTGAAGTATATTAATTCAATGGTGAAATCTGAGTTACGTGTGAGGGTGGTATTGTATCTCTTTACCGAAAATTCCATAAGAAATTCTTTAGACTAGTTCTCTTGTCGGTTTTGTATACGTGATAAGACTGATGAAATCTCAAGTGTTTAAAATTTCTATAATAAATAAAAGCATATGATGGAGAGAATGAATTTATTTTTCTATCAACGTTTTTTTTTGTCTCGATGTGATTGATAGAAAAGCAGTGAAATAATACTGCTTGCTATACTTCATAGGGAACAATTCTGTGGCAAGAAATAAATAGTTATCAATATTTGTTATTTTTATTTCATGTTTTATGAGATATGTACGATAAACGTACATAAACTTGATTTTTGGATTATTTTGTATAAATAGTAAATATACATTTCGGAAAGCCAAGACTAGAAGGTTCGTTTTGTTTTTTAATATCACTCGATCTTTTCCTCTTTCTAAGCTAAGGGGTTTCTACAGTACTCCCCTTATTTCTTCCATTGATTTATTCATTTGTTTTGGATATAAATTGAAGAATTGTTTCTATTTAATGTGAAAAGAGTAAACACGGAGATTAACTGTTTGGAATCAACAATCACATCTTCTTAGTCATCACAACATTATCTCATGAGAAATATCTCATGGAAACATATGATCATGCAATTTTGTTTGTAATTATCATCATGCTACTCACAAAAAATGCATTTTCACGTTTCTCCTGAATATCACTGGTTTTTGAGATAAAATACGTAAACGACCAAGAATTACTTAGATCAATCAGATTTTTCATCCATTAAATCATTGAACAAAACTGAATTGATCAATACCATTTTTCTAAATGAAATTAATTGAAATGATAAATTAATGACGAGAATTTTGGGCCCCGTCCAATGTCGCACAGCCGACGTAAAAAATGGACGAAGTATAATAAGTTGTAGCAAAGTTTTCTAGACTCCACTCCTTTCACATTTTCCCTATTTTTCACTAAATTAATAATAATAATTCATTAGACCCGTTTCTTCACATGTTCTTTTAACTTCAATTAATGATTAATAACATAATCATTTTGTTTGTTTTGTTAATATTAAAAGTTATGATAAATCTAAAACTCCGAAGCAATGCAAAAATAATATCATACTTTTTTTTTCAAATTCCGCACATATTCCTTTTGCGAAGCAATTGAGTGAGAAAAAGAAGGCAGTTGAACGAGCTTGCACGTTAAGGGCGGTCGTTAAAATATTTCGAGTGAAAACAGCCGCCGCGCGTGCGTTTTTTTCTGTTATTTTCTCTTTTTTTTTTACTTTATATATAACCAACAGCGTTTCAACTTTCGCATAGAATTTTTTCAACTACGAATAGAGCCAGCTATATCGTTTTTTTTTTTCATTTGTCTCATTCTGCTATCTAAAAACCTAAGTAACAAATTGTTATAATGTCTTTCGTATTTTTCTTTGGTTTAACACTTTGATAATTTTTCGTCGTCACTCGACGCGGAAAAAATAAAGGAGATCTGGGGCAAAATCTCGTTTTATTATGCTGTTATATTAAATTAGTTATGATACTTCAATTTGAATGGTTTTTCATTGAATAGTTTCTTCTTTCTTTTTCAATGTTTAAACTTATTTTGATTTTATAACAAAATCATCGTTGGCTGTTATCTGAGTTTTTTAAATAATCCACTGTGAAATAGCTCAATTTAGGAAGAGTTTAAAATTAAGGAACATTTCCACAAAAAATTAGAAAGAGTTCGACGAAAAAATAGTGATTAATTGGAGTGACAAATTTCTGTATTAATAATGTATCACATATAGGATTGAGAATAACATAATGAGCTAACGGATCTTATTTTGTTGATCATGGAATTTCTTCAGTATAAATATTCAAATCCACCTAAAGTATTATCACAATACTTGATCACAAGAACGGATTTTCTTAACATATTTGGTTTTTTTTCTCGTCACGAAAATCAGTGCATATCATAATATGGTTGGACTGATAACATGTAATTTCGTAAATATGAATTGTTCTGTCGTGGAATTCCAAGTTACTGATAAAATAGAAGAAAGTAAAGTAGAATGAAGAAAATAAAAACAGCGGGATAAAATATTAATTTGTTGATTTTTTAAAGTTTAATGAAACATTAGAGTAGACATTTTATTCTACCTCACTGTTTCCCGTTGCCCCATTCTCTTTCAATCTCTTTTCAATCTGCATCGTACGATAGATATCGATATGTTTAAACATATTTCAAAGATATTTATTAGCTTATAAATAAAGCATTAGTAAAAATGATGAAAGCTTAAGGGGAGAAAAATTATCGTCAGTAATTTGTTATTCCATGGTGCAATATTATGATAAAAATCTATTTTGCCCCATTCTCCCGCATCCCTACTCCATATATCTTCAAACCACGCACCGCCTTATATTATATTTATATTGTACTATATGTACAATTTATTACAGTATGTATATTATATACAATACGATATCCATTCCCTTCAATCTCCAATTGCATTAAAATTTCTTCTGTCAACTTCTTTCACATCTTCATTTCTTAATTGTACTTGTGATCTTTCGTCGTAGAATCTAAAATACGCACAGAGATAATTAAAGTCATTTTTACTTCCGCCAGTTTCCGTATTTAAAATTTCCTTAAAATTAAATCACAAGTATCTCAGCGCCCATCTTGCGATTGCACCTTCGTGATTGATATACTAAACTACATTGTCACATGTAATTTACCCCCTATCAATTCTGTAGTGAATTACTGAGAAAATAATGACTGTATTTACACAGATTAATTGTAAAATATCTTTGGGTATTATATATACCCACTAGTGTCCAAGCAGCAGCATCAAAAAATTTTCTTCATAAAATTCTTTAGAAAAATCTTTTGTTATGATTGCTCCCAATATCATTCATTGCCAGCAAGAAGACAATTTTCACTTGAGCTCTCCGAAACATAGGCGATAACGATTAGACGTAAACATTGCGTTTTCTTGGCAAGGTAAGTTTATTATAATAGACTGGTTTATGTCAGCTATGGCAGTTTAGTCAAATACACGAAAGCCTCGTAATCTTACAATTTCAGAAGAAATGAGGCCATTAGCTCGGCTTGTAATTCTCATACTCGTCAAATAGTACCTCTTGTAATATCTGCCTCTAAAATTTACTCTTCCGAAGAGTTTACTGTGCGTTAAGTGGTTGATCTGTGCACGATGTAAAGTTAGAAAGTTGTAAGTTGTACTTGTAAAGTTCTGAAATAAAATTCGTCGTTCATCAAATAAAATTTACTTTACCCACGACCTTGACTTTTACACACTCCGTGCGCAGAAACCACTTGACATGCACCACAATTCCCAACAATGAATTCCGCAGGTCTAAAAAAAATGTGTTACGTGTGCGAAAAAGTTGTTCTTTACGCACTTGTAACATAATATACTTTTTCTACACTTAGCAGCATCATATAAAATTATTGCACTACGTGCGAAAATTCTCGAATAACTGACGCTCTGAGGTCGTTATTTTCGACTTTTCGACGTCGTATAATAAATTGTCGTTCTAAACATGTGCGGAAAATGTTTTTGTTTTTCGATCGGAGGGATTATATCTTTCGCCGTTGGCTCGTGCGGTAAACCTCCTATGAAGCTTTTTCATGCACATGTTTCAGACGGTATTTCATTGCGTGACATTGAAAAGTCGAAAATAACGAACGTGTAGCGTGAGCTATCCCAGATTGTCCGTACGCCATGAAATAATCGTATGCGTTTTAGTTACACGATGTACTAGCATATGTTGCACATGTATGAAATTGAGAGATAGGCTAGTTCGTGATTCGTTAATAAAGAGTGGTAGATTTACGAAAGCTCTCATTGTAAAGGAGATTCGATTTCTTCTGGGATGCAACTCGCTCTGAAAACATAACATCATTCGATCATATTCTCCGACTTTATGCATTTGTAACATAAGATACTATTATCAAGTTGAAAAAATGTTGTAAGCCAAGCTGTTGCTTTATGAATATCTGTGAACCTCTTTATGAAAAGATAATTTCAAAATAATCTGGTTTCCATGCTTCTTTCCTCATAATTTTCGTACAGAATTGATAATTTACTGATCATTACGTACCCTAGATATTCTCGATGATTCATCTTGAGATCGTAATCAAGATTATCAACAACAAAGTCTCTTAAATTCGACCGTAGCACAGCCACTTGCAAATTTTAGTCTTGTAGTTAGATTTTTTCATAATAAAAGCGCGAATAACATAATGAATTTTATATAGTGGATGATGTAACAATGGATAAATGCTGAAAGATCTCTGGATCTGGTAATTGTTCGCAGCACAATGTTATGAATGTCTGTAAATTTTCACAAGTATTCTCGAGGCCTTGGGGGCGGTCGCTTCCTTTCCCTATCAGTTCTTTCACTTCTGTCGCCACCAGGATCACGTTCTTCGCACTCTAACATTTGGGTTGTTTCAGTGGCGTCAGTAGGTGAAATAGGTTGGGTAGCTAGAGGTGCAAGAGGAGCTAAGGGTGCAGCACCTTTATTTCGCGATTTACTCCGTCTTTTCCGCAGTATCAGTGGACCTAGAGCTGTGGAGTCTTCTCGAGAAGTTGAGGCTTGAGTCAAACGCTCTAAGAGCTCTTTGGATACATCCCTTGGGGAATAATCGAGACCTGGAGTCACTGGTTCTTTAGTTTTTTCCATTTTTTGGTCTGTATGGTGGTGATGGTGCCGGTGATGATGATGTTGTGGGAGTTCTTTCGCTGGAAGTCTTTCATTTGGATCTCTAGAATCACTCGACATCGCTACAGGCTTTTGATCTGGAGATGTTTGAGTTGCTGTATCATTTAAATTATTACTTGAGATCACTAGATTCCCTGGACGAGCTGGAGTCGCTGCGATAGGCGGTACGGGGGGCAGTCTGCTGATAACACTCTCTAACATGTCTTCTAGCTTTGCTAGTCTTTGATTAACTCGCTGGACTTCCAGCTTGAGATCAACTTTGACTTCTAGCACAGCGGCGAGGATCTCCCGGTCCTGACCAGGTTGAGCGGTTATTAAACCCCCGTCGTAAGACTCCAGGCGGCGAAGGGAAAGCTGCTTTGATTCAATTGCTAGAGTCGTCGTTGGTGGTTCTTTGGGTGGTTCAGGATCCTGGACTTCTTCGATGGTACCGCTGAGTTTGGAAAGTTTTGGAAAGACCTTATTGGTGCTAACAGACGAGGAGGGACGGGAGTCACGGGCACTCAGAGTACGCTTAAAGGTGTCCGTCCCAGTTCCAGTTTCGCTCCCGGAGTCTAAACTCGAACTTCCTATTAAAGCAATTGAGAGCAACCAGTGAATTATTATATTATATACTATATTACAATTTGTACTTTTGCTTCCAGTTTCCAGCATTTTATTCGTCAAATCCGAAATTTTTCATTTTTTGTGTTAGAATGACCAATTTTGGGTTCAGCAATTCAGCTATTATATTTTTATATCATATTCGTATGGATGAATGTGTATGAGGATTTTTTAGAATTTCGATACTAATTCGAAAAATGATAGTTACAAGTTTTATTATTATGGCATTGAATATTCTGTAGAGGTCATTTTGACAAAATTGGAATTTGAGAATGATTGTTTTATTCACTTTTGAAACATCTCATTTTACGTCTTCAACTTTGCTATACACTGAGAGAAAAAATGATTTTTACTGAGATTTTATTTATTTGGCAGATGAATTAAAATCGTTTGAAACCAAAAGATATGGTATTTCCTCGCAAGGTATTTATACGATTTTTTTAACAAAATGGAAGTTGGATTCAAAGGAGTGTTTGTGTCAAATTTGTCACCCAACTCAAGCGATATCCATTCGTTCAGTGATAATTTTAATTCCGAGTGTGAAATCTCCGCGTTAACTACTCAATAGATTTCATGCAGTGTAATAAAACAGAATACGTTATAATTTGGAAAATTATTAAAATACTCTATTTGAGGGAATAAAAAAAAAATGAAAACAATTGATGAAAATAATATCAATTGTTTAAACTTTTTCAATATTTCCAATGTATCCGAAAACATGGCTAATTAATTATCAAAGACACTTCAGTATAGAAGAATGGACGCAATAATCCACTTGTCTGTTATTTGATTGAAACATGTGTTATTTTGAGTTATTTTCTAAACAAAGACAGTTAAAAAAGAGAATTGTGTCACATTCTTTAATTGATAATTATTTCAGTATTTCAGGGTTACTGGGAGTGAACGAAAGAACTAACAAGAAACTTTTGGATGGTTTCAAAAATTTCTGGCAAAAAAGTTTTTTTTTTTTGGTCATTTACTTCTTGGAACTTTATAAAAATATGCATTTTTTTGCATAACACCTCACAAATTTCGAGAATGATAAAGTATTCATTCAGAAAACAAAAAAGTAATACGAGTAATACGAAAAAACCAAATGAAATAATGGAAATAGGAATAATTACCAAGAAGACGACCCCATTTGCTGGCTCTTGGTCGAATAACGGTCTCTGCATCTCCAGATGATGGTTTCCTCGAGTGGGAGATCTCTCCATCCTTTCCATCTTTGGTATCACCCTTCTCTACATCTGTGGGGTGTCTCTCCCTCCGGAACCTGTTCCAAGGCGATGATACAAGAAGTGACGTTTTAATCACGGCTTAACATCGTCTACCACAAAGAGGTCTTTTATTTATGAGATTTTCATCTTGAGGAGTGTTAGTTCAAAAGGCCGAACACTATGTGGATTAGAAAATATTCCTCATCTTTTTCACTTCTTTAAATGAGAGCTTGACATTTTTCGCATTAACTCCGACGAATGTTTATGTGAAGCATGTGAAGCTCTTGAAATATTTTATTCACATTTGAACGAGTGTAAATTATTTCAATTAATTTTAGTTGCGGAGTGGAGAAAAGCGAATATAAATATGACTATGTATATATTATTCAGGAAAATTCAGTCATCTACCACAAATTCTAAGCGATTTCTGGAAATGAGTTCTTTTGGTTAGTTTATATTTTTTCATTATACCTCTCTTGTTTTCACTAATGATTTACGTTCTAATATGAATAAAATGTTCGCTGAGTTGATAGTTTTTCATTTTTATTGTTCACTGGCATTTCTTACATTAATTTTTTACAAAATTGGCTACAGAGGCTATAAAGGGTTACAGCTCCAGCGGTGTTCACGAGCAACCTACTTTGGTGTGCCTACGGGAAAAGTAAAAAAGATATTTTTGTTTTTTTTTGCTCGATTTTGTGATACAGTCCGTGTGATTGACATACGGAAAATTAGTCAAGTATGAACAATGTGAGATCCAAGGCGAATAATCGATCAATACGATAAGCAAATTTCATAATCGGTTCATGACACTTGATACACTGACAATGTTTAAGAATTTATTTTTGAGGGTTGAAAAAGTTCTTTAGAAAATGTCCATGAATTTGCAATCTCACACTCGCACATACCAAATCGAGATATTAATATACAATTAATTGGTCATTCGAAAGATTACATTAATGAGTTGGAAATAAAATGAAGAATAATATTAAGGTAATGAGGGTAAATACTTTGCGTGAATTGCAGCGGAAAAAAGGTCAATAGTTCACCTTCACCTCCATACTTTAATGATACGATTCATTTAGTCATCTCTTCATTCTGATGGCGATTTCTTGTTATCGCCAAGATGAACATTCCTAACTATTTCAGAAATGATATTTCTTTTTTGCGTTAAGGGGTTAGAATTATTTTAAATTTTAGTGGTTTTCGGATGGATGCCGTTTTTATTGTCAGCATTGCGCCAACATTTCACGCACATTACACTCTCCATTTTCAGGAGTGAGAGCTCCGATTCTGAGGTCCGATATGCGGGGATTGTCCTTAACCATTAGTAGTTGAAATAAAAGTAAGAGGGGGTGAGCTGAGCCAATCAGATGTTTTAAATGAGCAGCTGGTGAAATAAAAAGTAAACGAACAGTTTTCCAAATAGGCCTCACTTGGTATTCGCTGTCCCTGTTGAGGTCATTCGGAGTTTTGGCGATCTCCAAGTTTTTACGATATTTTCTTGCGAAGCATAGTATATCGTAGTATATCGTCGAGGTAATATCCAGTATTCATCGACTGTTCAGCTAGGGCAGAGTGCTCCAAGTAACGATATTTGGAACTCCGGTGGTGTTCCTTCAACCGTGTATTGATCCTTTTCTCGGTTTTTCCAATGTACACTTTTGCGCGTTTACAGAGGATCTCGTACACACCTGGTTTACTCAAAGGTACTCTTTCCAATTTTCTTTGGGGGTTGGAAGATCGTTCTGATATCGTGCTTGCCGAGCACTCTGCTCATACGTCCCGTAGGTAAGGAACGGGCAACATAGGGAAGGAATGGTCAACATTAGGTGTTTTCAGAGTTTTACCAGGAGAAATCTTTTCATGGAGAAGTTACTACACGGATCAATGAATACTAATGGCGTACCAAAGACGATCATTCGGAGGATTTTGCACTGGCTAAACATTGGATAGATACTGAACATTCTATCCACTATAATAAGGCGAAAATGTTGACCAGGTTTCAGGGATATTTCGAAAATAAATGTTGTGAAGGCTTGGAAATCCAAAAAATGTCGATAACTTCAACAAGACAGAGGATATCAAGTAAACTCTATTTGGAAAGCCGTTCTTTGAGTATTTTAATTGATAAGCTGATCCGCTAAAACATTTGATTAGCTGAACTTACCCCCCTCTTGACTTATTGCCCGCATTACCACCTAAAGATGATATATCAGCACCATCATTACCATTGCCACATATCCGCGTCCTCACTCGGAACTCTCAGCCCTGAAAATGTTGACTGCAATGATTGCGAAAAGTCGGAAGTCAAAATAAGATTCAAGAATATTTGTTATGAATGATAAATTATTGTTGAGATTATTATTATGGAGGGACAACATGAAAAAAAAAATTTTAATGACAAAATTAACGCCTGCATATTTTCAAAATAATAATGATATATAGGTTTGTGTTAGAGGTGCTTAAAGATGCAAGTTTTTTCATGCCTTTGGAACAGGGTTAAATGAAGGCATTGTATTCTTCAAATCAGATATTATCTATTTTGCTCCACGAGGTCAAATATCTTTAAATCATCATGTCATCTTTAAACCATGCATATGTAGAGTGAGTCTTGGAGTGAGTCTGAACTCGGAGGTGCTTGCACGATTCTAGTTATTGAAAAAAATTATCTTTTTATTAATTTGAATTAATAAATTAACTATTTTCTTATCAGAATTTAATTCTAGTGCCCTCGCCTTCCCATCGTGGTGGAGTCTATTTCCGAAAATAAAAGAAAAAAAAATGAGAAAAAGTTAAGACAACTGGAGATGAAAGCTGTGAAGCGTCCCTTCAAAAGCACTTTCTAACTTGAAAATGTGTGTTAGCGAAAACATTGATCAGTAATTTTTCGAAAGATTTAGCGAAGAATGATTTTTCCTTAAAAAAAAATATTAGAGTAAAAAACGTTAATTATCGGGCTTCTATTAACAATAAATTGAATTGTTGGTGAAAACCATGTACTCCAATTTTCGAAATTTTTTGAAACTCCATTTTTTTCATAATGTTCCGCCCTGTAGTTGTCGATTTATAAATTTATTTATGAATAAAAGCGTGGAATTCCATCTGTGGACCTCATAGCGCATACGTTTTGACCCCCAGCATATGGACTACATCGCAGCATTGATCCAACTTTAGTAATTGATAAAATAATTGAATAACTGTAAAAGACTATTCTGCCGAAGAATTCTATCGTAAATTATTTGTTTTTATAATTGCAAGTCTTGTGTCAATTGAGGAATGTGTTAACTGTAGAATATCCTTTGAAAAAAAAACTTTCTCTGGGAACTGCATTCAGAGTATGAGCCAATAAATTAAACATGGAGACTCGAAATGATTATCAGATAAACGAAAGTTCGAAATATGAGCTTAGAAAAAAACTTGAGAAATTTTACTTACAAAAATTGAACAATAATGTATAGTTAGTTTACATGAAAAAAAAGATCACTAATCAAATTGAGAAAATAAATAGAGAGAACTGTGCCCAACAGAATCGCTGCCAAAGATTGCGTACGTAATAAATTTGAGAATATTATTTTTTTGCTTTTCGTATAATTTTTGGGGTTTGTACGCTCTCTCGACGCGTTGAAACCACCCCTATACAGCATTTATTAAGGCTTCAGGAACAAGGGAAAACCTCAATTGCAGAAAACACTTTATCCTGTACAGTCAGACAATGAGACTAGGGGAATTAAAGCGCTAAAGACCAGCTAATTACACCGTCTGCGCTTTAACTGCACAATTACTTCGTCAGGCAATATTGCAATATCATTTTCATCTGAAATTTTCTTCACTTTTATCACATTATAAAACGAGTAGCTTTTTTACGAACTGAGGAACAAGTTTAAATTTTCAATGTCATGGAAGGTCTAAATAAATGTCGATTTCGAAAAACTCTGACGATCGTAGATCGCAGACAATTGTTTAACTATTTTTGGGAAGGCATATTTCAATAGCCTTAAATGAGATAATAGATTAGAAAAATCCAATTTCGATTCAATTGCTTGATAATTAATCGCTAGAACTTTTCAAAACTTTGAAGTTATTTAAATAGAAAAACAATGTTTTGGTTGATTTATTCAGGATGAAATTCCTTTCAAATTTAAATAGTTCTCTAAAAAAATATAAAAATAGCATCAGATGATTCTGCAAAACTAGTGAATATAAAAACACAAATTTCTGCTGACCATATTTTCGTCACAATTCACGCAATCCTTTTACTGCCGAGGTGTATTATTTTCGTGCTTTCCGAATGACTGGACCAAGTAATAATCACAGCATCAATGTATATATATATAGAAAAGTATATATATATAAAAATATTAGGTGACAGAAATATAAATTTGAATCCTAGAGTGTTGATAAATCATGCACTCCGCCGCAATATGGCTTGTAACCATTTAATTATTGAACATCAGCGCAGAAAATGAAGATTAGTAAGTTCGTGTAGATGAAAAAAATCAACAAAACTATAAGTGAAATAACCAATTGATTAATTGGTGATTGATAACGGAACTAAAAGGTATGATTGAATATTCCGTTTGCAATAATTTTCAATGGGCTTTTAAGAATATAATGGAGTAGAAAATTTGGTAAAGATAGAGCGAGAGAAAGATAGAAAAATAGAGAAAGGGAATAGAAAGTTAATAGAAGTGGCTCATATTATTCGCTCTATATAGTTTCCTTCATTTTACATATAATATTGAGACGTGGGACGATATTTACTGAGACTCGATGGTTGTATCGAAGTCTGTCCAATGATAAACAACTCAATTCAATTCGTTTGATCAATTTAAATCGATTAATTAATTGCCCAATATCCGTGGATAATAAGGAATACTGGAAAAAAGGTACGTTGTCAAACAAAATTTTGCTTGCGTCGAAAAATATCTTTTCATAATGATATGCTATTCTTAAAGCACTCATTTTCAACAAATAAATTCATTAATAATGTGAAATTTAATATTTCATTTAATACCATTATTCTAATTAGAAATTAGACTGCTCCATTAATTTTAGCCGTCCCCCGTATCTATTTCATAAGTATCGAAGGAATAAAGTTCATAGTAATGGAATATAACTGACTGATTGAATAGAAATGCGCATAATCCTTCTAAAGGCGTATAATTTACAGCACTCTAGCATTCGTAAATATATGTTTATAAGTAAACTATATTATATACATATATTTATATAACCCTGTGTGACTCCAACATTTTAGAACGTTATATTTCATTCAATTGAAATAATGAAAATGCCGATAATAATCAGTCTGATTTAAAATTTCATTTCTAGGAAAGGAAAAAAGCATTGATAGGTTTTCGTGAAAAAATTATTTCCCAGATTATAATTATCGACAAGATTATGTTGAAAGTTTTTAACGGAAACAAGAATAAAATGGATTTACGCCGCTTCCAAAATGTTTGTTCAAGGGCTGGGGTATACAATATGATGAGAAAAAAAAGCTTCGCAGTTATTCCATAGTTAAAATCACGTTAATATTTGCTTCGTTTGAATAATAACGATTATCAAAATAGGACAACAAAAAAAGAACAGAAAAGGGATGAGGTATCTATAGAAAATACAATAAATTTATAATCCGTAATGCTAAATAAATATTAATACAGAGGAATAATCAATATTTAGATGAGGAAATAAAGAGAAAGGGAGGATCGGCCGAATGATGAACAATAATGAATCATCAATAATAAATGAAGGGGTTAAAAATTTGGTAAATTTTAGTATAGATGGATAATTTGAATACGATAAAATTACTGAAATACGTAGCAGTTGAAAAGAAATGGCAATAAATAATGTAGATTAAATAAATACGTAATAAAAGAAATTGCCTAAAACTTGGCCAGGGTGGTAGAACGTTGACCGTGAGCTCCTCATCTGAATCCTGCGTTGGATGATAATCAGGCAGATGTCGAGGTGAGCCAAATTGGGAATCTCCGTCTGTCTTGAACCTTGTGTAGACAACATCCAGCCAAGCAATCACCATATCAACATTCGCCAATCAACAGATTCCTTATTTATATTTATTTATTTATTCTAGATTTTGACCTCTTGGATTTGATTACAGTTGGGTCATGGCCTAGATTTTGGTTTTTTAGGGAAAACCAATAATATCGATGCAGCGGAGTAAAGCCACATGAGTGCAACATATCAATTTAATCCAAAACATTTATTTCAGTCTAATAAATTATCTGTAATCAACGATGTAATCGAATCGCGTTCTTGTTGATTGCCATAATTACAGGTACTTGTTTCAATAGTATTTTTATCATTACTTAATAATTAATGATGATTTGGTGATGCAGGTTTTGGGTATATTCTTAGTTATGGGCTTAGTGAAGATTTAAGCGATAATGACTAGATTTTTTTTCAGGCTCACCTCGAGAATATCTTTCGGACGAGGTGATCTTGGGTTTGATCTAGTTGTGGCTCATTTTTTCGACGCTCTGCGAGTTCCTTCTCTCTGCGAACATCTGCTACTTTTCGAAATATGAGCTAGAACAAGTAATCAAATCAGACTAGTTTATAATCATACAGTATAATTCAATTCCTCAATGACAAAATTCTTTTCCTTCTTCCAGAATCCATCAAATAATGATAATTCTTATGGTTTACAATGTATATGGGGTAAGTATTTCCGTGGGAATCCGCACATAAGTAATGCGTTGATAAATGCACAGAGGAATAACAATATTTGATTTCATTTTTTGATTATTATCGAATTTAAAAAATCGTTTCGTTTGACTCAGAAGATGTACACGATGAGCATCACAAAGAGCATTTTGTATTGATGTTATCCAGCAAAAATTTGGCTATGCTTTATATTCTTTAAAGTTTACTATACTGTTCCGTCTCCATATTCATCGGGAAAATTTCGATTTAAAGGCCGCATGAACTACGTACCGAATGTGATCTTTTGTTTCAATTTTATCTGGTTTGCCAAACATAAATTGAAATTTGGGATCAAATTTGTGTTGCGGCAACCATTCGAACGGGCATAAAAAGATAATGAAAAAAAAACACGAAAGATTATTGAAAGGCACTAAATGATTGTAATGGATCTACCAAGTCTACAAATAATAATAATAATAATAATAATAATGAAATGCGCAGCTTACCATTGCTCTCCACTGGATTGAGTGACAGCTAGGTGCAATGGAATGGTGCATATTAAAAAAAAAATTTTTGTGAACTTGACAAAACCTTTTCAATCAATATCGTGATTTAGCGCCCTTCAGTAATTTTTTCCCATGATCTTTTTATAACCATCCGAGTGGTTGCCGCAACACAAATTTGATCCGAAATTTTTATATATTTCAGGCTAACAAGATAAAATTTAAACAAAAGATCGCGTTCGAAAGCTGCATAACTCAGAACAGAATGGATGTAACAAAATGGATGAAAGGAGTGTCGATCGAAAGCTAAAAGAATGAGCTTTCAAATGATATATATGCTAGTCATGGTTATTCGTTCATTAACTCGATAAAGACATGTGCTATATGGCAAAACTGTAAGGTAGAGATTTCATATCATCACATGCTTAAACGCTCATAAATAAAGATCGAATCGATAACAATGATAAACAGAAGTATTCGAAAGCCCAGAAAATGAGCTTTCAAACGATGCTGAAAATTTGGTCGAACCTAAACCTTCACGGTAGACATGACATATCACATTTATGCATAAGAGAGCGTGGCATTGAGGACTAATAAGGATCAGATTGCTAGAATGAATAAATGAAGAATTTGGTCCTGCACTGTTATATTTTACACCAAAAATTACTTAAAAAGAATTGGAGCAACATAAATCAATATATTTCCCGTGCACTTTACCCCATTTCTTGCTTATGCTCAAAGGTTTTAGACGCTGCCTCATAACAATGGTAATGTATCTCGAACTTCCGAAATGAGAAAGTGCACGGAGAGAAAAATACGTGAAAAATGGCCGAGCTTTTACGTAATAGTGAGATGACCCTGCTTTTCGAAAAACAAACTGGGATTTCCGTAAAAATTGCTGTAACGAGCCGAAATTTTTGGGGCGCCTCCAGTACTTTTTCCTAAAAACCAAGGTCGCCTCAGGTTTACGTAAAAGTTCCGTAATTTTTTAAATTTCGAGTGTTGTTCTCTCCGTGTGGTCACATCCATATTCAATTCTTGGCGTTATATTGTGTCAATATGACTGCAACCTTCCGAACTTTTAACCGTTTTTTGTTTTACTATCCTTCTATAATTCGTGACCTTTTGACTTTTCAAAAATTTCATAGCGATGTAAAAAAATTGTAGACAAATATTCGCATGACTATGAGACTTGTCAGTCGTTGAATAAAAAATAAAACTCAATAACGATATATTTTTGCGCATCAATTAGGTCAACAATCGGGGAATTTCAAGATTTTCGAGAAAGCACATAGCGTTTGAATTGAGCAAAAAGGTCGTAGAAAGACTTTTTGGATTGAAGATTGGTTTGATTTCAACAATTATGTGCAAAAATGAAAAAAAATATGAGCTAGAACAAGTAATCAAATCAGGCTAGTTTATAATCATACAGTATAATTCAATTTCTCAATGATTAAATTCTTAAAGATGATTTTGAATAATTTTTAATTTTTCGGAAAAGATTGTACACATACTATCTTGAGGGAATAGAATATTTTCACCTGAATTTTTAGGAGTGTATAAATATATGAGTAAAAAATATGAATTATCCAAAACTTCAACATAAGTTTGAATGAAATATATCTCATCGGAATTTTTATTGTCAGCGTAATTGTAGTATCATTCTGATATTTATCGCTGAATGGCAATAAGTTATACTCCACCACTCGCGAAGCTCGATACAAAAAAAGATAAATTAATTTGAGAAAGGGTTGGAAGAGGCAAGAATTTGAAAAAGAGGAGCGCGTGCGCCAAGTTGCTCTATTGAGTCGATAAGAGTATAAAATCCACTCGTCGACACTCGCGCCCGTTCGTAGTTATTCGGCTGGGTAGTTGTTCGGTAGAACTCAAGCAATCATCAGTAAATGAAGTCTTAACCTCAAATAAATTAATGGATTAATTATCCGGCAAGAATGGAAATATGAAGAATTCCTTGAGCAAAGTAAGTAACCCAGGCTCGACGATTAACTTGATTTTTTGACTGATAATTTCACTCATAGCGAGGTGTGGCGAGATGAACTTATTGAATATTAATATAATACTTATAAAGCTTATGTGGTAGAGAGGATCCCCCGGTTTATGGATTATCGGACGTAACTAACGACGTACTCGACGTTGATAAGAAAAGGTAATGAATTTATTCCCTCGATTGCCCAATTATCTCGATAAAAATAGAATGGGTTTTTTGAAGGGGCTAAAACAATAAATTGCTTGATACTTTTAAAGATGGGCCACGGATCAAGTCGTTCAGCTTCTTCGGCGAATATTTTATCAGCTGATGAGCTGACCCTTGTGGAGAACCTCTTCAAGTCGATGTCTCGGAGTTCAGGTTCAATAAAACGTGAAGATATATTCAAGCATTGGTCGACGCACCTGGATGAAGGACTTCTCCAGTGTGTGGTGCGTTTTCTCTGTTATGAGCCTGGCAAGAAGGTGTCTGCTATAAACGGTGAAAATTTTGGCAAACTCTATGTCTACGCGGTGAGAGGAAGTCCTGAGGAACGTACAAATTTGATATTCCACGGATACTGCGATGAAGAACAAAAATTGGAGATACCAACAGCGACATTTTTAGAGTACCTTCAAGCAACGATTAACTCATATCTAAGATTACAAAAGAATTGTGGCAATGTTCATCACAATAGCTGGAGTAATATTGGTTGTACAGTGAATACTCGACGAATACAGATGCGATCAAAATCCCTATGCGAGGAATTAATAAAATACGGCGATGTATTAACTTCGGAGCAAATTGAAAATTGGTACAGTCAGTCTGCGACATTCAAAGCCATTCAATCACACGTATTCCAGTGCCTCTTTTTAATATCTCAAAAGAAAGGTGACAAGAACACAAATGCACGGATCAACGACCTAAATCTTCTACCAGTTTGCAAGGGTCTCGAAAATATACCTCATTTTCCGAGTATTCTTGGCCTTGGTGATGTACTTTTCTTAAATCTCAGTCTACCTCATGAATTACGGAATGAATGGCGTTTTCTGTTTTCTAGTCAAGTTCACGGGGAATCTTTTTCAACGATGCTAGGACGTATACAAATGCAGGGAGCTACTATTATTATAATACAAGATACTGATGATCACGTTTTTGGTGCATTTGCCATTGATAATTGGTCACTTAGTCCAAATTTCGTTGGCAATCAGACATGTTTTCTATTCAAATTAGATCCACTAATTCTCACATTCCCATCGAGTGGATACAACAATCATTATCAGTATTTGAATCTACATCAACAGACGATGCCAAATGGTCTCTTGATTGGAGGACAACTCAATTATCCTGGTTTGTGGTTGGATTCTGATTATGGAACGGGCAAATCTAGTCCATCTTGCACGACTTTTCTCAATTACGTTCAATTGAGTGGCAAAGAGAATTTTACGATTAAACATCTGGAGGTGTGGGGCGTGGGGTGTTTGCCAGAGATCGAGGAGGGCACTAGAGACGCTAAGTCAATCCTTGATCAGGATGCTGCGTCTCGAGTGATGCTGGAACTTGCTGGTCGAAAAATGCACAGTGATGGTTTTAGAGATAAAACAGAAGGGAGTGATAAATAGATTAGCTTCGCTCATATCAGCACATCGAAAATATAAACCGTTAAACCATTCGAAATTTATCACTTTTTTTTCTCCATCTTCATTCTTTTACAGAAATTAATAAATCAATAAATTTTTAAACGGCCTGATTTTCTAAACCGCTATGTTCAATATCATCTCACTATCTCTGTGCGTGAATGTTGCACCACGATGGACTTTGATGTAAAGAGTAATAATAAAGGTTATAAATGGTGAAGATAAAGCAATCTTTGTGATGAAAATAATTCACTCCGGAGTGACAATAGCAAATTAATCTAAATCGAATTCGTTAAAAATATTTGATGAATATCTTGAGAATGTATCCGAATATTTTTTGCAATTCTTGTTTTCGATGAAACATACATCGTTGTATATCTTTTTGCATCGTAATAATTTTTGAAATATCCGAGAACGTTGATTTCTGTTGATTTATATCTTTCTTTGGCTACTTATTCAATATTTTTATCACAACCACACAAAGAAAATAAGAAAAACATAGCGTATTCATTGCAGAATTCTATTGCATTCCTATGGAATTTTTTCCAATTTTTTTTCAGGCGATTCGTTTTCTTTAATGGAAAAAATAAACTTTACAAAAGTTGGAAAATTCAAACTGAGAAAATTCGGTTGAAGTAATTTGGAACGAGTTATTTGTATGAATGAATCACTTGAAAAATTGCCAAATCTTCCAATTAAATCCATGGAAAATTCATTAAATTTGAATGGTAAATGACACGCATTTAATAAATTGTTTTTGCGAACGCATTATGTTTTTCTATGAAAATTTTTCCTAAGGGCTTTGACGACAAGTAAAGTCAAACGGATCTTTTTAGTAGTAAATATTTCAAACTACATTAAGATTAAATTAAAATCACTCATTAAAGGAATATGCAAAATGATCTTCGCGATATGTTTCTATCTGATACCTCCAATAACAGAGTTATAACTTCCATTAGTCCAAGGGGTACGAAAAGGACTATGCCTTAGTTATTTTATTAATGCTTGTTCCCATTCAACTGGTTGAAAGACTAAACTCTAAATCTGTTTGAAGAGGTAAAAAATAAATGAATATGTTGAAATAGTAAATGGCGAATTAATGAATGATTCATTACCCTGTGTCGCAAGTTGTATGTGAGTACGAGGTTTCTTGCAAACGAGTTGGCGAAGGCTTGATAAAAGTCGAGAACTTCCAGCAGTCTATCACGTTTGATGGTATGGAGATCACAGTAAGTCAATGCACGAACGTTTGCTGCACTCTGGCCCACTGCTGAATCTTTCCAAAAGCTGTCGCCGAATACATCCCCTTTGCCAAGGATTGCCACTACTTCGTCGTCTTGGATGACTTCCAGGCTACCCGTAACGATAAAACAGAGTGAGTCGATTGACTCACCTGTGTGGTATAGCAAGTCACCCGGTGCGCTGTGGGACATCGTAAAGTGCATCGCCAAAGCTCGTAGACACCCGTCCGAGGCCAATCTGAGAAATTGATTAATAGCAATTATGTACGTAGTACCACTGTAATTTCCGTTTCCGAGGAAATTACAATAGCCGAGAAAATCCAAATGATACATTTTGCTTGTGTCGAGCAAAAAGGTCGTACAGACAAACTTTGAGATTCAACTTCCATTTTGTGCAAAAATCTCGTATAACTACTTTCCGAGAGAATACGTTATCTTCACGTTTCAGGGCATTTTGAGTCATCTGACATCAATTTTTGGAGACAATGTTTCTTTATTTTTTCAGGCAATCTTCGTGAAATTTCGATAATGGTCCAGTAATGTCGTAAAAACTGTTTATTAGGCAATAACAAAGGTTTACGTGTTAGATTATTTTGGACTACCAGATTGCAAATCTCGATCCCTTTCTTTTCAATAAAAAATAAAAGTGAGACAAAAAGTTATTCAAATTTTCTCACCCGTGTAGATTCACCATTCTCTGATGACCGAGCGTTCATACAGCTTTTTTGCAGAAATAGAAAATTAATTAATATCGCCTTTGAAAAAATTGCGAAAAAAACCCTCCAACAGTTGGATTCAGATCACTCAAAATCGTCTCTAACGGGGAGATGTCGTATTCCTCCGAAAGGTGTTTATACGACCATTTTACACAAAATTCAAGCTGGATTAAATAAAGTGTTGGTATGATCTTCTTCTATCAGTCATAATGATTAAAATATGAGTTATTAATATTAAACTTTGCAATTCAGTGATAAGCCGAGGATTATTATACCTCGTACTTCTTATTGTCGAAAACTTGGAATTGCTGTAAAAAACATGAAAACGTTACTGATGAAAAAACTTACCTGAAAGCAGGATGCTCATTGAAAACTTTACGATTAAGATGCACACAGATGTCGGCTTTCATATCTTTTGGACAATAATTCAGTACTTTGTCGGTGTCGAGGCCTTTTGTCATGGCCCATGTGCTCACAACGTAATCCATGACGCGTTCACTCAAGGCTTTTGGCACTTCATGAAGTTTCATGAATTCCCGAACGTTATTTAGCATGTCATGGTACTTTGCCGTCGCAGACGTCATCTGCTGGATTATTGTTGTGACATGACCGAATATTGTAGCGTACAGCAAGGCTAGTGAGAGACACAAGTTTTTTCAAACCATTCAGTGAGAAAATTCATTTAACCATAAAAGACAAAAAAAACTATTGTAGGAATTTCATTTTTATGTGATCCTTGCTGCTTCGTTCATTAATGATTTCCCCAAAGATAATGAATTTTTTGATAATACCTCTAAATATTGTATAATTGTGCAAAGAAGCCCATAAAAACACATTATTGAAAAATAATAAAGGTTCGCATTTCATATGATATTGGACCCATCTGAATGAAACTTTCAGAGACGTTTTTCTCATTTTATTATTATTATTAACATTTTTAAAAAATACTATTGGTAAATTCGGCTGAAAGGTCGCGTCAACTTTTTCTTAGGGGAGAGAGATTTTCCATTATTCTAAAGAGTTTTAAGGATGTTTAACTGCTCCAGCGTAAAACCGTGTTGGAAAATAAAATGAAAAAATTCAAATAAATCATTTACAATATAAATAATTTTTTCTATTAATTTACAAGCCTCATGGGATACTTTTCGGTTTAAATTATAAAGAAGTATGGAAAATATTCATAAACATTGACGTATGATTAACTACTGCGGTGACGGTCGAGTTTTAATCGTGCAACACCCCATTTAGCGGGGTGGTCGGCCATCACTGTTTCATCGTCATTTACCTTGCCGAAGTGGCTCAGCTGTAAGTGCAACGCTGTCAATATTATACAATCGTAATGGCGGAAACTTTTTTTCAGATGTTTTCAAAAATCAGTCACAATTTCCTCGCGTATTGTATCGGGTACCCTCCTTTTTCTCGCTGATAAAATATTCCCCATATTGTCCAGTAGATGAGCGAAGGTTTTTTGAATGATGTTGAGTGCGTATCCTAGTGCTCTTTTCTAGCAAAGCTGATGCGGTCAGGTTCTTCCATCAGACTTTGTGTTACAGACAGGGGTATTCACTAATTATTTTCTCGCTAAAAGGGAGGGATCGGGGGGTCGAAAAGGTGACTTTCGTATGGTTCATACTCTCAGTTTACCCCTCTTCCCGCGGAACTGTTTCACTGTGTGCAGACATTACCGTTGACAATATCAAAATAATGTTCGTGCACCAAGCCGTGGGAGTGGCTAGCTAAGCATTTTGGAGCTGAAACCTTTCTAGGGGACACCTCCTAGCAGTCAGAACACGGTCAAATTCGAATCAGTACAGGTGATCCTGGGAAGATTACGGTTGGACCCGGACCCGGACTGTTGGTCCTGGGGAGAATGATTAGTGCGGTCCCTCCGAGCACATTAGCACCGCGAGACGCCGAGCCCCGGGATAAATGAAGTGTAATGGATCAGTAAAGTACTATTAACAATAGACCAGTTAGATCTCATCAAGAGTGATTGACAGTGTACTTGCGCGAGACCTTCACCTAAGAGCATGACTTTCCAGAGCATTAAGCAAATTCTCCGTGAGCCATGTCCAACTGCTTGAGTAAGCAGGAAGTTGGATCAACAGGGGGATCCGAGGGCATCACATATTTCTATGCGTCTGTTCGACTGTTTTGTTCAACTTCCACGAGATCTTGGATTAAAATACTACAGACAATCCATGGTATTGCGAATGAGCTGAACCAGCTAGAATCCTCACTATCGCTAATCAACTTGTCCATTGGTTTATTTATTATTTTTCCAATATTTTGTTGAATTGTTGCTTTAGTGATTTGGAATATTGTTCAAACTCAAATTTCTAATCTAAATTAAAGATTGAAATTAGTCTTCGTTTAAATAGGCCTGAAGGTGCATTAAATTTAGAAATATCTTTGGCAACCTCAAGCATTTCTTTTTGCATAGTAAGATTAAAAAAATCTTTTTTGACTTCTTAATAGTTACGAAAACTAATCTAATGCAATTCGAAAATTCATTTTTCTGTTTCGATTTTATATAACTGTCATTAATAGTATTGTTTTTACGACTGATTAGTGAAGAAATAGTAAATTTAGGCGAATCTATTAAAAAATGTAATTAATAAAATAGGTACTTCAAAAATATTTTTGATTGTCTTGAATCTAATTTATAATTTTTCTAGTTCACTACATTTTACTAAATTTTTCTCTCAGTGTATGATTCAACAGACCTGCAAAACTTGCTCGTTTACATGTATCGTGAAACCAGTTCCTTTTATAAAGAATGGAGAATATTTCTAGTACAAAACGATCTCTACCAAATGTTGAAGTGGGATGACAATTCATTATCATTATCATCGTTTTCCATTCAACTTTTTCACGTTAGTCAGTAGTGCAAAATATTCGGTGAAATATTCGCACATAATACAATAGACGAATGATCAAATCACTTAGAATCAATAATTACAATCAATAATTGTTTGTGAATTATTTTTCACCCAAGTTTTGATACGGAATGAATGGAACAAAGCTAATAATATACAGTATCTAGCAACGTTTTTTCATATTTAAAATTATCTCAATTTTTTTGAAAAGAAATAATAGTATGCACATGAGAACAAGTAGTACTTGAAGGTTCTTAGAAATGTTTCAATATAATAATGAGTCTAGAAAATATTACACGCATTTGGACGAGAAGACTATGAATAGACACATTTCAAAGAAATATTTGATAAAATTAAACAATTGTCACGAGAATTACAATTGTGTAAAAAAATAGTGAGTGGAATCTAGGCTATATCGAATACACTCAAAAAATTCAAGAGTCTTCTCAGATGAATTACACTCTTGAAAAAAATCGATAACTTGATAGGTGATAGTAAGGGTTATGAGGTGGTTAAGGGCGCTTCAAATTCCCCACATGTACATAGGCCTTCATTTATTAAAATTATCTTCTCTTCTATCGTAGATCATGAATAACGTTCAACTCTAGTAGATACTGATTGCTCACCGGAGAATGTTATAAAATGCGTTCGTATTTTAGATATTTTTCTTGTTACTATTTCCCGTAGCAGGATAGAAGATGAATAGAAACTCGGGCTGAGAGACCCATCAGTAGTGTAGAATGAATTTCGTAATATGAAATATTTGAGATTCTCCGTTATAAATTAATTCGTACGAAGAAAATTTGTGAGATTTGTATGACGAAAACGGCTGTAATGTTTACGCGTTCAGATTCAGTGGAATGCAGTCGAAGGACATACGAACAGAAGTTATTAAAATTCCTCGTGAACTTTTAAACCCAATTTTTCTAAAACGTTATCTTAAACTGCAGAGAAGTACTTTAAAAGAATGACTCGTGAAGTCTTTCTCGAAGTATACATTGTATGCAAATTGACAAATAACGTGGAGCTTTAGAGCAAGTACAAAAAAATATAGTTGGCAAGCAGCCTTGAAGTGTTATGCATTGAATAAATAGTTTGAAAAAACTAGTTATTTGTCAAAAAAGATAACAAACTGTTTTTCACGGTTCAGGCGATTTTCTGCAGAACTAAACAATTATTTTGATAGAACCATGATTTCTATTAATGTATAAGAAAAAAGCATATATATATATATATATAATATAATATACAATATGGGGTATTGAGAGTGAATTCAACGAGGTTTAAACCCTTACCCCCTTCAATTTTATCGCCGATTTTTTCACATATTATAGACATCATTAGATGACTATTCAATTTCTTTGAGATTGTTTGACGTTACCAGGAATCCGCGACAATTTTTTTTATTTTTTTTCAGCCTTTAAGAGCGTAACTCTTGTAAATATTAACTGATTAATAATTTTTTTAAATACAAGTTTTCGTTTTTCTCATCATTGATTATAACATTGAACTTTGTGCCCAAAATAACAAAATTGCATTATTTCTCTATGCTTGTACACCGTATGGTTTTTTAGATGATCCCCATTATATCACTGACATTTTTATAATCTTGTCAATGACAATGATTATTTGACGGTATAATTGTACTATACGGCTATTTCTCATGGTTTAGTTCAGAAATAAAAAATAGCTCTGAAAAGATTGAATAATGACATATCTCGCTAAAGGGTGCGATAAAATGGGAGAACCATGATATCCTGTGGTGAAACTTTCTTTTCAACATACCTGCCCAGAAAGTGTTTACTTTTCTTCTGCTCGTCAGATATAGCAAAATACGAAGTTTCCCTTGATATGTTGACTAGTTGAAAAAAAACATATTCACGTCCGGCGGGAAAACACGACTTTCCCCCTTTGAGGCACAATATATTATTTTTGGTATCACAAATTCATTGAATTTTTTTGAAAAAAATCGGGCCTGATTTGGAAAAAGCAGGATATTTCCCCTTTTTATGATGAATTCTCATAGAATGTGATGTACAAAAAATATGTAACCATGTTCATTTATTGGCGAAAAACGCAAATTTTGAAAATCGTATATTGTGCATCAAGGGCGGAAAGTCAGTGCTGTCCCGCCCTAGGTGCACATGCTATTTTTGAACATGCCTGCAAAGGAAACTTCGTGTTTTTCTGAAATTCGTTAAAAGCTGAAAAAATGAAAAAACTCATAGCGGATTCCTGGTATCGTCAAAAAATCTCCAAAAAATTGACTAGTTATCCAATGATTTGTACAATATGGCAAAAAGTTAGCGATACAATCGAAGGAAGTGAGGGTTTGAACCTCGTTGACTTCAATCCGAATCCATATATAAAACGAAGAAAATGAATTGATTATACTTTATTTAATAAAGGATCATTTGAAGGAAAAATGTGAATATTCCGACAAAAATTGGCATTGTTAGTTTAATTGATCGATAAATTGTCAATAAGATGGATAAAAATGGATAAAAAATGAATTTGAAATTCAGATTTGACATTGGAATGACATTTCACTAAATTAAAATATATTATGATTGTAGATGTAGAGATATATGCCGTAAGCTTACCAGCAATTATCATCATGCAAATGGTGAAGATTTTCTCATTATCCGTCTCAGCGGCGACGTTACCAAATCCTACGGATGTCATACACGTCATAGTGAAATACAAAGCTGTAACATACATAGTTCTCCTGGAAGGCCCAGCAACGAGCTCAGGCACAGTACTAGAGTTGGTCCAGAGATAGCTGTATGGCGATTGAGTTACATTTGCCAACTTCCACAGCCACGAGTATTGAACGCCACCATCAGCGTCAGACCTGCCTATTGAGTACCTTGAGGGGTGTCATGAGCACAAAAATTTCTTGAGAAAATGATATCTCATTAAGAGATGCAGAAAATTTATAAATACAAGGACCACGCCAATGAATACAAACCAAAGGAAAGTGAAGCAAGAAAAAAGCTTTCTGGTGATAGTCTATATTATACACGTATAGATTATTCTGGTGCCAATACTTAGGGTTCTCTGTCTTATGGTATCGAATTTACATTTATGTCTATAATTATGGTTACATGAAAGCAGTGAGAAGTCTTTAGCCCATATAAGTACTATAACCATTCATTTTGGAACGGAATTTATTTTCTAATTGACAACCATTTAATTTTCCATTTGCATATTTTCGCCAATTTGATATTGGGATATTGCATGCGTAATAAATGACAGCAAACCCTCATTTGATTTTATGTGCACAATATTCTTTTTCTGAAATATATTCATCTGAAAATGAGTACTGATTTTTGAAATGATTTTTTGGGGCATGATCATGACAGTTATCATACTATTTTGAATTTCGTTTGAAATGCCTCTCACTCACTCACTCAAAAATTACGCCATTGGGATAGTTTTTTAACATGTGATTTCGATCCAGTCTTTTCTTCCGTAATGTACAAGCCCGAATAAGGTATACATGGCGAAAAATTGTATTATGAAGTAGCGATTAATAGTTATAAATGTTGCAGATTCAATTAAAAAATTCTATTATCAATATAATAGTAAGACTCAATAATGTTGGGAGTTGAAAAAGGTTTTGTCGAAAATTCGTCAATTAATTTATGCTGCTTTCGGTACATTGTTGATTACTAAAAAAGTAGTGAATACGTTATAGCGTCAAGTATGTCAATTTTAAACTACAACTAGAAAATTCTAATGGGAAGTGTTTAGGAGCGGAGAATCCACCACAAGAAATCACCTTAATATGACATACCAGACACAGGCAAGCCAATGGGCTACCAGCATGTAGAAGCACAGGAGTAGTATAAGCATGGCAGCACCATATTCGAGGTAGCGATCCAGTTTACGTACGACACGTCCGAGTCGCAGTAATCTAACAACCTTCAGTGCTGAAAAGAGACTCCCAATGCCATCTTCGTCGTGATCGAAGGCATTGAAAACGTCGTAAGGTAGACAGCTTAGGAGATCTATGATGAACCACGATTTCAGATAATTCATTCTGATGACCTGAAAAAGACAATGTTGTAAAGAAGATGGAATTAAAAGATGCAAGATGGTGGATTTTGTAGTTTTTCCACGAGTATAAAATTTCTTCTTTCCAAGTTTTTATTTTTCCCTCTTTAGGAAAAACTTGATTGCTTTATTGCTGTGGGGTCGTCCTTATCATATTGTCACAGGGAGAAAGTCATCACAAGATTAGTCAAGGAAAGAACGACTGTCTAGAGTTAAATCGAGCTGTTAATAATAATTATCAGTGCTGAAGATAGTCACAATATTCCTTTATTTCCATTCCCATACTTCCATACAACAATACAGGAAATCGTGTCAAAAACTTGCACCAAAATTTCGATAAATGTTTGATAGATTCGCATTATTTTACCGGATAAAATAACTTTTAAATATTTGATTTTTTATCCACGAAACACTACATAATCCTCAAAGATTGCCGTCCAAGCTATCCTATGGAATCACTCGAGTACTTGCGGGGGAGCACATCTTTTGGTGCCATACCGCATAAGAGCTTGATCCTGGTATTATCATATTACTTAATAAGGCATGGGTTTTAACCAAGTCATCAGACCTAATGGTTTGACCTATTTAATAATAGACGACTCAAAGGGATAGCGACGTGAACGCTGGACCGTACTTTTTATCCTTATGTACAATCGGATGGTGGTGCACTTGAGCTACCAAATTAATATCACTAGAGGGATTGAAGTGATTGTTTTTTTCCTCGTTTGTTATTGAATGAATGAGACTTTAGTAGTTAACTTTTGATTCCCTCCGTTTTCTGTTAATATTTTTTAAATGGTGTGATTGTAATCGTAATAAAATTATGTGAACACTTGAACACTGCGGATTTTGGATGATGGTTCACACGTGAGTTTTGTATTTTCAAGATACGATATGGTTGGTCTCGATACAAACGAAAGTTTAGATTGGTAAATTGCAAAATTGTAAATGTTTCCGTTGTCACTGTTCGTCTTGGACTCCCTTTTCCTCCCTTGCTAATTTTGGCGAGATTTTCAGGAAGACGGAGGAGCGAATTGTCACAACATGAAAGTTTGTATTTGATTGGTCAGAAAAAGGCTCAATCCTCTATCTTGATCCACCCTTGTTCTGGCGAGGAAAAATTTGAGTTTAGCGAGGATTTTCCAGTTCTGAAGGCTCTAATTTTTATGATAAAAAAAGGAATTTTCTTTGGACCACACGGCTGACAATGGATTGAATCATACAATGCCTGGGACTTGAATAGTTTTCTTCGAATGAGGCCTTTTTCTTGGGAGAAATTGTCGTAATGGTGTTGAAGATTATATGGAAAATATAGAATTTTGGTTTCGATTGGCTCTAAAATGAAATTTAAAATTCCCTCAGGCTTTTCCCAAGGATTGGTAGGGTTGTAAAATATCTAATCTCTAGTTCTTATTGACTGGTTTTTCTCTCTCCTCTTGCTATCTAGCAGTCTTACGCATATTTTAGTCATTAGAATGTGCGTGAGAACAAAAAGATTTTATTCACTTCACTAGAATAGAAAAAAGAGTGTGTAACTATTCAGCAATTTTTACTGAATCCTTTTTTGACTGACAGGCTACCGAACACGCACGCAATTTTCATTGAATTTTTCTCTCCATGTATATCATTATAAATTCTATATAAGCTACACAGGAGCTATATGATTTGTTTCGCGCGCATACTAATACGTATTTTATCTGATCTACAATAATTATTGTAGTACTGTATATTATATGGAGCAAATTAATGAAAAGTTATTGAATTTACCCTAGACTATTTTAGTCTAGATTATGAATTTTTATTGAATTGGTGGACTGTGAGTAGAAAACTATTCAGGTAATCCTTGTGAAAGCTCCCAAAAATAGAAAGAAATCAACTGCACAAAAGATTCTATATATCTCTGTGTCTACAAATTTGCCACGAATACATTTACACTACAAGGGCAGGCAGTTGAAATTCTACTGCAACTATACTACTACAAGTACAACACAACACAATTTGTATTTTGTAAATATATTGTACTTTGAAGTCATTATCAGCAATATATATGTTTGACTTCCGTTATCAAATACTATAATCCGTCTGGTTTGATTAAACCCTGATCCGGCCCGCCTGATCAAATCTTTATCAATTCAAGACGTTAGTTGTCTGATCGAGTCTTGATCAAGTTGGAGGATCAGTACCTGATCAAAAATGAAAACTGATTTCATCCGAACTTCATTTGGAACTGACTTAAATTCCCACTCGGGATTGCTAGAACGAATATTGAAAAATTATGTTTATATGCTATAAAAAACTCACATTCACGCGATTCTGACCTCGTCTTGCTTGTTAAAATCGCGGATTCTACGCCCAATGACATAAAATACTGTATAAAACTCGTGCGTTATATTTTTTGTTTGACTCGTGGGAAGTTTGTAAAATGAGCCGAAATCGGTGAAGGCTGTTCATCGAAATCGCGTATGTCCCTTGAAATTTTTTTTTATTAAACCATAATCCGTACCATATTTGTTGCGTAATATACTATTTTGGCGCGGTAAGTATTAAATAAGAAAAAATTCAGTATTTAGTTTTTATCCAAATATGGAATGATCAAAACTCAAAGAATTATCATAGAATACATGAAAGGCTACTGCAAAATTCTATTATAAATAATAAATTTCTTATCAATAGTAGTACATGGACAGAAATATTTAATAAAAATTACGGAATTTTCAGTCCGCTTACCGATTACGGAATCGATTCGAACAATTTAACTGACGGGATCCTAACTTTTCGCAGATCGGTCAGATAAAAATTACGGAATGCCGCAGAAAAATATGGTGACTTTAGATAAAAATGACGTGACAGTTCCGTAAAATTTTCTGCAACCACATTTCGCTCTGGAATTACGGAAAAGACAGGTCATTTTTATTGAATCAAGATACGCAGTAGCGTATCGGCCAAGTCAAAATTTCATCTCTATTCAACAAATGAGGCCGAAAGCTACCGTGTATCTGTACACAACACAACTACCCTCCACTACTTCCAAATCGTATTTAATCCATAAAATACAAACGTCACCAGTTACATGCAATCTGTGCATAGTTACATCATATAAATCGCCCTCGCGTTGCTCATTGATATAAGTTTTCCGTTTCTTCTATTATTATTGGCGAAAATACGCCAATATATTCCCAGTTTCTATTAACTTTCGGTTACATTGAAATCACTAGGTTGGGAGCAGTTCGATCCAACCTAACCACAGCCAAATTTGGCGTTAAGATGTTGCCATCAGTGTAGTCAAACCATTCAAACCGTTGAATTGTGACAGGGAAAAAGAGGTGAATTTTTCATTTCTTCCCTCAGATTTTGTTTCTTATTGAGTTCCATTATTATGATTGTGTATTTTGTGGTAACAAATATTAAATTTGCGCTGCGTTCGAAAATTAGACGCTGTTCTTGACGTATTTAGGTATGTAATTACACCTGTTACTGAATTCAATTGTGAAGATTAATTAAAATATGAATTTCGAGATTTTGAATTAAAAAAAATTTATTCCATCTAATAGATACATAATTGTAGAAAGAAGTTTTTTCAAATTATTGAAAAATATTGTGCATTGTGTAAAAAAAATTATGCAAATAATATACTTAAAATGAAGTTACAACGTGATGTCGGTAATAAAAATTTAGAAAACGTGAAAATAATTTTTTACTTGGCGCGGTTCTTCCCAAGAACTACAGTTAGAGCCATTTGTATTTTTCGAATTTTTTTAAAATTGAGTAATATTACATAGAAATAATATCGAAAATTCAAAGGAGACACCAACAGTGTCGAGATCAAATGCGATAAGGTCAGTTTAGCGTTTTGACGGTTCCTAGAATCGATCGAATTTTTGTGATCGAGAAACGAATCTGAATTTCTCTCGAGGTGTAAAAATTCACATTGTGATCAATCACGCTATCACATAAATTTTTTTATTCCCAAATTATAATTTGACGATCGCCAAGAACCGGCCAACGTCTACATCAAAATCGACTTTTCCTTTCAAATCTTCGAGTTTTTCCATCTCCTTCTTTAATCTTTCTCATCGAATTTGGTTTTTTTTTTTATAAAAAGCAGACTACAGTTGTGACTCTGATAAATAAGCTTTATTTTTCAACACCGCGGTTAGTTAAATCATCTGTAAAAGTCAAAGTCTTGTAACATCTCTCTCGATCTTAAATAAATATGAAAAATATGAGAATAACTCCATTGAACAGCTTATTTAGTCTGAACAGAAAAGAAACAAGAATATTCTTTAAAATATAGGCATCTCTATACCTTGTATGAAAAAAAATCTCAGAAAAATTTCCAAAAAGTTTATTGACTTTTGTTGTGAACAAAAGTCACGATTTTTTAACGATTTTTTTGAGACATTAAAAGAATTGAATAGATTGGCGAACAAAGAATTTTTTGCATATGAAAAATTCATTGCTCATTGAATAATCAAATTTTTTTCATAGAGCAACGCACTATTTCTGATGTAGGAACTGATATTCCATAGTTTCCAAATCCGGAGTCACCGTTGCGACCTGGCTCGTCGGACAATCTCAGACAATGCTTACCGCACGAATTCAAGTTCGAGCTTCTGTAGGTCCAATCGTGCCGAATCTATGTGTATGTTACTCTAAAGATCCCTTAAATATCGTTATGTGCTTGAAATTCGATACTATTTCGCCGTATTTGAACCTGTTCCATATTTGAGATGGTTGCGCTTTTCTAACAGACCTAGTTCAGAATTAGTTCATATTTTGGCCAAACTTGAATGGGTTCAGGGTTTATGTGCGCTCTGAACTCTTAAGGTAGTGCTCCTGGTAGATCATGAGCCAAGCTAGAGTACTGATGAGTTTCATTAGTACGGTAGTTTGGCATGATAATATTGCTCAATGGCCTGCACGCCTGTATGTTGTATTTCTGTAATGACAGCTCACGTAATCTGAGTATTATTGCTGCCACATCTATTAATTTT